TGGTGCGGGCAGGAGCAGCCTTTCTGGCTGACACCTTTTGCACTGTCTCAAAGTCGTTAACGGGAGCTGTGGTTAATTTTTAATGTGACTGATGGCAGCGCACAAGCGAACCGAGGTGTTAATGCATCCTGCATGTGTGTGTGCGTGCGTGTGAGTGTGAGCTGGTCTGTGCAACCACCTGTTGGAGCTCTTTGCGGCTGAGCACAGCGGAGACACCCGGGTTCTGCTTCCACTCAGCCTTTCTGATGTGCTGCTCTATTTATTCTTTTCTCTTCGGGTTTAAGATCCTATACCAAACCCATAGTGTAGACCTGATCTGTGGGTCCCTCTGGGATAGAAGCCCCCAAGTCCTTTCGGACCCCTTCCACCAGTGGCAGTGGTCCAGCGTGCGCTGTGCCCTGGACCAGCCCTGCTCTTTCGAACCACGAGCCAGGTCCACCCGCAGGGAAGCAACCCCAAAAGCAGCCATGCAAACACACAAGCGACTCACCCCGAAATAGGAATTGTGCCCGTCGCTCCAGAGCACAGCCAGGTCTGCATTCTCGAACTCACCCCTGTCCGACATCCCGAAGAGGAGCCCGAACTGCAGGTCCCTGATGAGGAGCTGGAAATGCACGGCTTGCTCGGGATAGCTGACGTTCCAGGAGAGCTCGAGCAGCCCCTGGGGATCGAGGGGCACCTTGTACGGAAAATCACTCCCGCGTGGCACCGAGCCCTGCAGGGCCACCACCAAGATGACCAGGAACACCGCAATCATGGTGAAATACATGGATGCCACTTCCCGCAGCTTGAAGCTGGGGCAGGGGCAGGGTTTGGTCCCGGAGGTCTGCATGCTGGGCAGGACGGCACCCGCGCACCTGGCGTCGCCCATTTATGTGCTGGCCCTCCTGGGCAAGCTGGGTAAGAGATACTCTTTAATTGCATTTGGTTGTTGGGAAATTGGATTGTTGTATTGACCCCCCCCACCTCCTGGCCAAACACTTGTCATTCGCTGCCTCCCCTTAATTGGCTCTAATTGCACATGGACATTATCAATAGCAATTGAATTTGACTGGGCTGATGTTATTCGCTCTTAAATCTTCCTTAGTGGCTGGAAAGGGCTGTTTACTCACAAGGTGCTTTTGCTGAGCCCCGTGTGGACATGCTCTGCCCTGCCCATGGTCCCTCTCACCCAGCTCTGCAGGGCAGAAGCTCTGGGACAGCCCCTGGAGCAACCCCAGCCACAGCCTCCCATGTGCCCCCCAGGCTGGGATCACTTATCGCTGGAAAAGTGGCCAAACTGGGAGAGGGGGATCAAATCCCAGGGTCAGCTGCCTGATGGACACAGAGTCCTGGTGCTGCTCCCTGACCACGTTCTGCTGGGTGCAGGTGGAGGGATCACTGTGCGCATCCCTGTTTTCTATTTGCTCCTCTGACTAACCAGGCAGGTCCATGGCTTGCAGGTCAACTGGTCCAAGCACACCTTGGGGACCCCTCTGCTCCTCCCAGCCCAGTTGCGATGTGCTGCTCAGCCTGTGCTGAGGTCCAGGCTGCACCACGGGGACTCGTTCAGCTGCACGTTCCCTCCCAGGTACCCTGCCGATGGCACGAAGCCCGCGGAGCCATGTCTGTGTGTGTTTATTGTTGGAGGCTGGCCTCCCCGGGGACACGTTTGCATGAGATGCTGCCAAAAGCTGAGCCGAGTCGAGTGACCCGGAGCCCCGTGGTCCTTTAGTCACTGCTGGGTTTAAAACAAACCTCTCCGAGCCAACTGCGGTGTCGTTTGCTGGAGCTCTCGTGGGTGTCAGAGCAGGTCCAGAGGCAGGGTCCCAGGAGAGGACATGTCTTTCCTGTGGTTTAGGTGGTGGCAACGGTGCTTTCTGCTCCAGCAAGCCAGCCTGATAGCTCAGCTGGATACAGTGTGGGAGATGGTTGTTCTCCTCCCCTCTCAGCCTCCATCCGTTTTTTAACCTGTTAGTAATAGTTTTACATGTAATCACGATCACACCTCCAGGAAAATACTGCAAGAGTTTATTTTAGCAGGGTAGAGCCAGCCTGGCAATGCTGAACTGGGGTCCTGGCATCTCACATGGTCTTTTCTGCACATCCCAGCAGTGGAGACAGCCCCACAGGCTTCCACCAGCTGGGGACAGAAAGGGTCCGAACCAGATCAGGGTCACCCCAGCTTGTTGATACTCAGAGAAATCAGGGAAGAAAATTAGAACAAACAGCACATTATGAGCATCGTGCCTTATCATTTATCAGAGTGTCTCGGAGGACATGGGGAGCATGCATGGACTCAGCTGTGATGGCTGGGGGGGGCAGCTGATGGGGACTGCAGCGAGGAAGAGTACCTAGTGCTGGAGAGTGCGAACCCCTTCTCCTGTCCTTCTCAAAAATACCCCACAGGGATGTATTGCCTATGGAAGACACCTTGGGGACTCCATTTACTTTTCCAGGTGGAAAAATACATTTTTGTTTACTAATTGTTACGGAAACTGAATTCAGCCCTTCTCAGCCTCGTGCCCTGGCAGCTCCAGGCTGCACTTCTCCCCCATCCAGCAGCAACAGGGAATGGCCCCCTCACCCTGGGGGCTTTGAGGTGCCAGCATTACCTGGATTTCACCCCTGAGAGCACTTAGGAGAAACAAGAGTCCAGCAGTGCTGCCCCAGGTCTCCACTCCCACAGCTGCTGAGGACGTGGTGACCCAAGTGTGGGTGAAGGTCCCCATCTGCCTGCGTTTTCCTCCTGGGAGCTTCGCATTGGTGCAGTACAGAGTTTAGCACACCTGGAATGTGCTCCTCTTTTCAAATGGCCTTACTCTGGGGTGGGACAAGGAGAGAATATCCACCCTCCACTGATTATTTACATAATTATCCCATGAGGTTGAGTATCTCAGGAATAGGAAGGCAAATGGGAGATGCTGCAGGCTTTGAGATGTGCTCTCCTGCTTTCTAACGATGCAGTTAGTGCAAAGGAGCCCTGATCGTGAGGGCCCTGAGCTCCCAGGCATTAAGTAACATTGACAGTGTTTGAAATATTTTCCCTGCAAAGCTAAATGCCAGAAAAATCACTGATTTCCCCCAAACAGACAGAAATTAAACTCAAGTCTTCTCTTTTCTCCTCCTTTCTCTTCTCTTTTTCTCTTCCATTTCTCTTCCTTTCTTTTCTTCTCTTTTTCTCTTCCTTTTTTCTTCCTCTTCTCTTCCTCTTCTCTTCCTCTTCTCTTCTCTCCTTTGTGTGATTTATTTCTGGCCCTTCCAAATCCAGCACAGCGTTTAAGCAAAAATAAGGATCCACACGCAAAGCCCAGCTCTGCTCCCACCCTGGTTTGCCTCCCATCGAAGGTCCTGCCTGCCTGGAGCTTTGTAGACATTAAATATTTGTTATTTCTTTGCTTTTGTAGCAGCTGGGACTTTGGCTCCAGTTTAAAGATACCTTTTGTCCCTCGCCCTCCCTCTTCTAATTTGTTTAAAGCCTGATGCATTCTCTTGCAGTTATTAAGATTTCTACGTTAATTGGAATTATAATGAACAGCCTCAAGCTCTTTGATACACACACACACTGCCTTGCTTTAGTCTTGGAGTTTGTGGTGTTGTTTTATTCATGCCAGCTCACGTGACGAGCGATGCTCTCAGATGCCACCTGCGCGGAGTCCCCTCCGCTCCCCTCTGGGGTTTGGGTTTCACTCCTGGTCCTTGCAGCAATGTCACGGGGGCAGATCCACGTTTCCCAGCCTGTGTCAAGAGAGGAAATAGATTCAGCTCAGTGCCCGAGTGTTTTAATGAATCATCAATGTGTTCGTCTTTATGTTAAATTTGATGAGGTTTTACTGTCCTAAGACACAGCCATTAACCCAGGAACGCGACAATTGATCGGGAGCATCTCTCCTTGTCGAGTGACCTGCTAATTAGAGCTTTTGTGTCTCTCATTCAGCTTTGTCAGGCAAATGGCCAAAGCACAAAGCCCGAGAGCTGAGCTCCTCCAGACCAGCACATCCCTCGGCCCCATCCTGCGCCCCATGGGAGCAGTGACCCCCGTGCACAGCCCGGCCCCACACCAGTGCTCCTGCTGCCACTGTCACCTTTAGAAGCACATGGCAGTTAGCTTAACGGGCGGGAGGTGATTAGAGCCGCCTGGGAAGGCTCCCACCTGGACAGTGCTCGCAGGAGATGTGAACCAAACTGTGCCGTGCCCCGGGCTGGGTCTGCACTTCCACCGCTCAACCAATCCTGAAGGAGGAGGCAGCATCTTTCCCTTTTCCCGAGGTTCCTGGGCTCATTCCTGGACGTGCTGTGCTTTGAGGTCCTTGTCTGAAGGCGTCAGATGGACGTCCCTTGTCCTCCAGCCCTGGCTCCTTGGGTAGTCGTCTGGCTGTGTTCCAGAAGCCCCTGAGAACAGATTTTTGCCTTGCCCAGTTTCTAACCTCCTCCAAGCACAGATTCACCCACTTCTCCCTTGGCTTTGTTTCTTCCTCGTAAGGGGAAAGAAGCTGAGCTGCCAGCGTGGCAGGGAGACAAACGGTCCTCACTGGGGGGGTGACAGGGAGTCCTCAGCTAACAAGTTCTGCCTCCATCTATTAGAGATGGAACCCCAGGTTTCTGGCGTGTTCAAGTGGAGCTCCTGAGCTTTCCTGTACAGAAGGAATTTGCGGTGGAACAGCATAACGGGCAGGTCAGCTTGAAAACAGCTGAGCTTTGCAGATAAGCAGCGAGAATTTATTTAAAGGGAAAAAAATTATGTATCTCTCTCCCCCCTTCAGTTTCTCCCCAGTCATTGCTCATAAATCCAGGCGAGGAGCAAGGATCTAGCTTTCCACTCATTGCTCCGGGTGTTTATTTTAAGACTTCAATGACATGTAGAAATGCCACCTCTGACTGCTCGGGGCTGGCACAGTGGGCTGGCTGCCCGCAGGAGCACCAGGAGGAGCAGCGAGAGGGCTACGGGACAGGAGCCGGGGGTCTGGCCCCTTTCCTCGAAGGCAGAGCAGAGACAGTGACTTTCTACTCACCTGTGAGCTCTTGCCGGCGCTAATGCCGGCATGGCGGTGCTGGCACCACCATGGGAGCATCCTGTGCTGAATCCCAGGCTCAGGAGTCCCTGCACATCCCGCTGCCCTGCTCCAGGCAGAGCCTGCCAAACCCCCTGGCAGAAAGGAGCTAAAGGTGCACAGAGAACACCCAGAGCATGCTTTCAGCCCCCAGAGAAGGGCTATTTTTAATGGGCAGTGCTCAGATGCGTCCCCCAGGCTCCAGCTCAGTGGTGCTGGCCACTGCACGAACCCCAGCAGCAGGGTCGATCCCCGCAGGGTGTTGCTGGCCCCATCCTCTGCAGAGCCGCATGTCCAAACCCTCCTGGCGACGACGTGCTAAAGCTACCGTGGCCTTTCATCGCCACTAATGACTCTGGGTGCAAAGCCAGCCCAACGGGGAGATAAGCTGTGGTTTCCAGAGCCCTGGAAGCAGCAGTGCCTGCCATTTGTGGTGGGGAGCTGGGGGAAGCAGCTGGCAGGAGGCGAGGGCTGCCTGCCTGGAACAAAGACTGACTTACAGGTAAGTAGGTTTAAACACGATTGATGCACCAAATTAGGGATTGAAGCAGGCAGCACCCCTCCGAGCTATAATCCATTGCCTGGCTAACAGAAATGGAAATTCAATTTGGGTGAGGGCAGGGAGGGAAGGGAAGCTCGCTGTCTGCTCCCGCACGGCTGGGCGCAGCTCTCCGTGCCCCGGGGGCTCTGCCATTCGCAGCCCCTGTCCATGGCCAGCCAGCACCGGGATCGAATTTGCCTCGATTAGGCAGCGTCTGACTCAGGCTGGACTCGACACGGTACGAGAAGAGAGGGCTGGCACATGGGGGAGATGCTCACGTGGACGGGCAATCGTGCGGGG